CTTTCTTTCTTTCTTTCTTTCTTTCTCTTTCTTTCTTTCTTTCTCTCTCTCTCTCTCTCTCTCCCTCTCTCTCTCTCCCTCTCTCTCTCTTTCTTTCTTTCTTTCTTTCCCTTTCTTTCAATATGTCTTTATTGATTTCAGAGAGAGGAAGGGAGAGGGAGAGAGAGAGAGAAACATCAATGATGAGAGAGTCATTGATCGGCTGCCTCCTGCACATCCCCTGATGGGGATCTAGCCTGCAACCCAGGCATGTGCCCTGACCAGGAATCAAACCACTATCTCTTGGATCCTAGGTCGATGCTCAACCGCTGAGCCACACCGACCAGGATCCCTTGTGTTTCTAGATCTTTGTTGATAGTTCTCCCCACAATCGTGTGTGTGTGTGTATACTTGTGTACATGTGTCTTTTGTGCATGTGTGTGTGTTGCAGGTGAGTATTGTTTTAAGTATGTAAACACCAACACTGAGGTGTATGGAGCTAGGAGCCCAGAGGGGGCTCCAGTGTGGTGTTTCTGAAAGTGAATCTGTGGCTTGGTGGGGAAGGGGGAGAAAGAAGCATTCAGGACCTTTTCTATTTGTTCTGGAAGGGAAGCAAGGAAAAGAGTCCGGAAGGTTTGTAAGAAAGCTTGGTTGTGATGTGAACAGAGCATGCCCTCAGCATAGTCTGGGGGTTTTGCTAAGTGAGCTAATGAACACCACTCTTACCTGGTTCCTTTCAGACAAACTGTAGAGCTCCCCTGAGGGTGTCAGCAAGGCCCCTGCCCCACCTACCAAGCACATGGAGGAAAGTTACTGCTGAGGACCCACCTGATGGGAGGATCCCTCTCGGTCTTGACCCTGGAGCACAGGGAAGAACTTGCCTCCTGGGCCCAGGACCTTGCCTCCTATGACAACTGGGACTTCTCACCAGAGGGGACCGTGCACTGCTGTTCTTTTGTTCTTGCTGTTCCTGCTATTGCCCTAGACTAGCTCTAAGGCCACATCTGTGTGCAAATGGCCTAATGCCTGGGCCTCTTGTGCACACCCTACTGGCTTCTAAGTGACTGGATGAGCCTGTGCTTTACTGGACAAGGAACACCGGCTCTGAAGTGGCTCTGCATGGAAGGCCATCAGCTGCCTGGACCAGCTTGAATAGTAGTGAGAGGCCTTCCCACTGGGAGCTGACTGTCAGGATGGCAGACCTGTGTCCTTGTTCACCCAGAGAGGGTCAATCTGGGGTGACTCTGAGGCCCTCGCTGTTGGGCTTCAATGAGCTGCTTTAATCAATGTCGGTTACTTTTTCGACATTCTCTCCCGCTCCTTAACTCACTCTCTAAAGCACACATCATTGGCTTTCTTACTTTTCCATTCCTCATTTTTTTGATTGCCTTTTAAGCACTTAACCTTAAAGGGGTTGGGATTTCTAGACTCCAAGTTTAGATGATCTATGAATATACATGTGATGAAGGTGTAAGGGGCATTAGGGGAGGGCTTGAGGATGGAAGAGTTGGGGACCCTGAGGTTTTCAGTGGTTTCTACCTATTTCTTCCTAGTTAGCATGTACATTCCCTTTAAGAGTGACATGTCTGGTCACAAGCAGAGTAGCAAGCAGGGTACCATATGTGCTGGGGACCAGAATGGTGGCCAACTGCCAGATATGATTGCTTTGGAGCAAAATCTCTTCTGTTCAGGAAGGTAGAAGGTTTTACATATGTTATACATATCTGTTTACCCATGATCATCACCTGTCAAGCAGCTGGTGCTAAGATTTAACACAGTGTTTTTTCTTCCTTGGAATACCTTGCTCTAATACCAGCCCCTTTTCTGTGTTGAACTTCTGGAAAAGCCTCCAATTCTTATTTGAATGAATATACATGATACCTGAGAAACCCATTTTTACTTTCCAAAAGATTTTCATGTGGGTCACCTAATTAGAGATCAACAACAGGAGGTGACTAGGGAAGCTATTATTACCTCTATATAAAACCCAGGTTCAGCGAGGTTCAGTCTCATGTCTAGAATTATATGCCATGTTGGTGGTGGGGCCAGGTGAGGGCCCAGATTTCCTGGAGGCAAAGTCCATGGTAAATTAATCTCTGCAACCTCATTAAGACTTCTATTGCCATTTCTCACCAATCTGCCTGAGATGTGACAAACAAGGAATATTTCTCAGAGCCATCCATAAAACCCTAAGCCCCTTTATTAATATATAACTTGGAAAACAACTGTGCCAAGGGGTTGGGCTTTTTATGGATGAGATATATTTGGAAGGAGATATGATGTCGGGTGGGGGGAAGAGTGCTTTTTTTTGTACTTAGGTTTTCCACTGTTTTAATCTGTCCTGTGCCAAAGTTGTATCTTTGTTCAAAGCCAAACTTCAGAAGACATACCAGTCAAGTATTAAGTCAATGTGTTTTCTCAATCCAATTGTGTGCTTCTGCTGTTGCTTCCATGATTGCTTTCTAGCCAAAGTGGAGCTTAAATTACTGACTGTGCCTCCTGGTGACTTCTGACCTGATTTTAGTAGTGGAAGCCTTGGGAATTGAATCCTCAGTGGGTCCTGTATTTATACATTTGGCTTGAAGACTTATTTGTATATGATGCTTTTTTAATGCTACGCAGAACATTATTTATTTCTCAAGTGTTTGTAATGTATAAAACAAATATATGGTTCATTTTTACTTTAAGCTTAACCAGTTTCAAGGCTAAAATTTTTTAATAGTAAAATAATAAAAATCTATAAAGTTCTTAGTGGTGTGTCAACTCAGTTCTTAAAAGTCAAGAGGTTCGAGGTTTGACAAAAAGTTACTTTAATATAGGGTATAGTCTCTGTTTGATATTAATTATTGGTAGGAAGTAGACAACAATTCCTTTCGCTAAAGAGCAAGAAAAGAAGAAAGATTATTTGGGTCACAGTGGAGATGACTGAAGGTGGGTGTTAGGAAGAAGAGGGAAGGTGGGTGGACATTGGGGAATATTAGTGAGGATATAGGTTTGGCTACCTGGGACTTAGATAATAGTGACTTAAACCAGATAGAAGTTGATTTCTCTACTGTTTTAACTCCCAGCTGGTATTGATATTCTGCTCCATTAAGCCAAGAGGGGTGTAGGCTGCCTTTTATAACTGGGTTTACCTACAAATTTGGGATGGTCTCTCCTAAAAAAAATAAAAGGTTAATAAGTAAATAAAAGAAATAAGAGTAAAACAAAAATAAATCAGGGTTCAAGTCATGTGTTTTCCTAAACGTCTGTGGTTTGCAATATCATTTAACCTTGACTTTATATCATGTATGTGTTGTGGTACAAAAGGGCTGCTGGAAATGTCAGAGTGGGGACAGGCCTAAGCAAGCAAGGACTCAGGGGCAGACGTCAGCTGGGGCAGCAAGGAGCAGAGTTATCTGGACCAGAGCTAATCATCGCAGCCTAAAGGAATCCACGCTCCACCTCTTCCATTCTTTCATAGAAGGTGGGTGATAATGGTCAGATGCCACATATGAACCTTGAAAGTGCTGAGGCCGGAAACAGAGGCTGGGATTATCTCACTGGAGTGGAGAAGCAAGAGCACCCCTTAAAAGGAAAGATATCTCGCCCTGCTGGGAGTGGCTCAGCGGTTGAGTGTTGACCTAGGATCCAGGCGATCAGGGTTCGATTCCTGGGCTGGGCACATGCCCGGGTTGCGGGCTGCAGCTGATCAATGACTCTCTCATCATTGATGTTTCTCTCTCTTCCTCTCCCTTCCTCTCTCTGAAATCAATAAAGATATATTAAAAAAAAAAGAAAAAGGAAAGATATCTTGACTTCTGCCCAGGTCATTATGCAAGACAGCTTCAGTGGAACTGTTGTGAAGCCAATGCCTCAATGATTTATTGGGAGGGAGAGCATTCTATCACCGCCTCAACGCATTCTCTTTCTTCTGTCAGAGATGCCAGTCCTACTTTCTTCTTTCTGACTAGGCTACTCCAAACTCTCTATACAGGCTTCTTTGGGGCTGGCCAAAAAGAGAGTCTCAGAAATGTGGCTTCACAAGCCCTGCAGTTCATTTACCTGGTGACCCCACCGCTGAGGTCTCTCCCTCCTTCAAGGCTTCTTTCTTAGATCTCCCTCTTCTCTCTGCCACCCTCCACCCCTCCTCCTTCCCTCCTTCTGCCCCTCATCCTCCTCTTCATGAAGCAGTTTTACTGAGATTTAATGGACACAATACACACATATGTAAATCATATAATTCAATGTTTTGATGGGTGAAGTCATCATGAAACTGAAATAATCACCACAGCCAAGAACATATCATTCACTTCTGGAAGTGTCCTGGTGCCCCTGTGTAATCCTACCCACTGCCCTCTCTTCAGGCAATCACTGATCTGCTCTCTGACGCTATAGATCAGTCTGTGTTTTCTAGAAATGTATGTAAGTAGAATGTATGTACAGCATGTTCTCTTTTTTGTTCGCCTTCTTTCACACTGCAAAATTATTTTGACATTGATCCATGTTTTTGCATGTATTAGTAGTTCATTCCTTTCTATTGCTGAGTGGTACTCATTGTATGGATACATCCCCATTTATTTATGTAGGTGCTTCAAGTTTTCTTTATATATGTGGCTTTATTCCTAGACTCTCTGTTTCACTGGTCTATTTGTCTATTTTGATGTCAATACCACAGTCTCTTGATTACTGTAGCTTTAAAAGCCTTGACACTGGGCACCAATAGTTTCAACCTTGATTTTTTTCTACAGTTGTTTTAGTTCTAGGCCATTCGCACTTTCATATGAATTTTAGAATCAGCTTGTCAGTTTCTATAGAGTCTGCTGAGATTTGGGTAGGGATGGTATTGAATGTGCAGATCTGTTTGAGGAAAATTGATATCTTAATACTGAGTTTTCCAACCCATCTCCATCAGTTTTTAATTTGAATTAGAACACTTTTTACACCAAATTTGTTATTTTACCTCTTGGCTTTCTACTGACGAAATGATTTCTACAGGGAACTATGTAGCTCACTCTCTCTGAATATATGAAAAATATTTTTGGAAAGAATAAGTTTTGGATGTATAGTAGATGTATGGAGGGCCACCCAGGTGCCTCCTTCAGGACAGGCCCTCATTCCCCAGCTACTGAGAGTGCTGGCAGTTGAGGGCTCTCATCTGAGCCTCTCTCTAGGAATTGCTCTCAGCCAACCAAGGAGTTCAAGGTTACAGCACCTCCCCAGGGGCAGTACACATGCAATGACTAGTGATCAGGCCCCAAGAAAGGACAACTCTGAAGGGCCATAGGAGATGGTGGGATCAGCGGAGACCTTTGTTGCATCATAGCTCAACTCTTTCCCTGCCCAGACCTTCTGCCTTCACTCACCAGGGATGTCAATCTAGACAGCGCTCCCCAGTAGAAGCCCTGCACACAAATCTCCATCTCAGGCACAGGCTGGTCCCCGGGGAATCCAGTCGAACACTGGTGATTATTTCCCAGTGAGCTCATAGTTTATTCCAGGGCTTAAAGGACTGTAGATGAGATGGGAAAGCAGGAAGCCGGTTATCATTGGCTTGCTATGATTTTGCTTATGGCTAAAGGCACTTGCCTCACTCACAGGTGCTTTCCCTTTCATGTCACCAACACCCCATCACCGTTTGAAATCACCTTGACCATGGGAGGAGGCGAAGGCATGTGGCAGGCTACTGCCTCTCAGTGTGGCAGGGACATGGATGACACAGTCGGAGAGAGAGGAGAAGAGGAAGACTTTCTGTGCAGGCCAAGTGAAACTGAACAGAGAGGCTCACCTGCTGGGAACAGGGGGTCACAGGGCTGGGAGTGCCTAGGGGAGCACCAATGGAAGGTGGAGAAGACTCACTCACTTTATAACTTTCTCAACTCCCGTGCCCTGGGGCAGGGGCGTGGGGAAGGGCGGGCGGAGTGTGAGATGGGAAGTAGAAGGAAGTAGTACTAAAAACTACTATAAAATTGAACGTTGTGATACTAGAACATATTTTTATTCTTCTGTTGATGTAATTGAAACCCAGAGTAGTGAGACTGACAGGTGGTCAACCGGGACATTCAGTCTTCCACCTTGACATAAATCTTGTCCTATCTGTCCCAGTAACATGTGCCTTACAGAATCACCCCACCTCAGAAGGTTAGAACAGGGCCTTTGACCTTGGGCTAGCTCATACGAGCCAGTTTATTTTATACAACAGACATATTTTTGTAAATTTAATTATATAATAATGACTAATAAATGAATTGTAGTATGAAGTCCTTTCACCATGTTCCCTCATTGATCTTACCCCGGGCTATGCAGTAAGTGTTGTGGGCATATGCAGAGGAGAAAACTCAAGTTCCAAGAGGTCGGAGGTTGGTACAGGGCCCCTCAGTAAGTGGATGAACTTGGACTTAAACTTGGGTCTACAGACACTAAAGCCTGCGTTCATTCCTTCCCTTAAAAGCATTAAAAGAGCCCTAGCTGCTTTTGCTCAATGGTTAGAGCATAGGCTCATGGACTGAAGGGTCTCGGATTCAATACCAGTCAAGGGCACACACCTCGGCTGCAGGTTCGATCCCCAGCCTCTGTTGGGGCACATTTGGGAAGCAAGCAATCGATGTGTCTCACATCGATGTTTCTCTCTCCCTCCCTCCCTCCCCCCCTCTCTCTCTCTCTCTCTCTCTCTCCCTTCCACTTTCCCTGAAAAGCAATGGGAAAAATATCCTTGGAATGAGGTTTTAAAAAAACAAAAGCATTAAAAGAAATGACCTTTCAGAAGACTACTGTAGTGAGTCTATTTGTCCTCTGCATAAATCTGGATATTCTATTATGAGGTGGGGGCCACCTGCTCTCTTTGAAGGGACACTCATGTCAAGGCTTTCTCATGAGAAAATTGGGCAATGGAGAAATAATCCTTCTGGGAAATTGGCAGTCACCAAAATTTCCAAACTTGCCC